CGGCGGCTGCGTCCTCCATTGCGCCAGGAAGGGCGGTGCTTGCCCCTGTTAGTTCCCTTTTTCTTCGTCGTCGCCCCTCCTCTTTTGTCATTCCTCCTCCTTCGTCCTCTCTCCTGCCTCGTCTCCCTCTCTCCTCCCCTTCTCCTCCTCCATTTTGCCGGCCACCCTCTGTCTGTCCCTCCCCCCTGTTCTCTCGTCTTTGTTTTTTTCCCCTTGCCACCCCGTGGCCCTCTTCATTTTCTGTTCTCCTTCGGCCCCCCTTCCACGGCCGCGGCGCGTCGCCGCGAGCGGCGCCCCCGCCCTCCGCTAACGGCCCCGCCGCCGGCGGTGGAAGAGGAAGATTACGAGGAGAAAAGGAGGGGGGAGGGGCAGGGGCGCGAGGCGGGCGCTGCGGCAAGGGCGGCCCGGCAGGGGAATGGGGGGGAGGGGGGGAGGACGGAGTGGGCGGGTGCTTCTGTAATGGTCATGTTGGTGATCATGGTCGTGGTCGCGTTCGTCGCCTTGGTCGCGTCGGCGGCGGTCGTGCCGCTGGTGGTGGGCGGGCTGGTGGTGGTCACGTCGGTGATCGTGCTGGTGTCGGTCGTTGTGGCGGTCGCGAGAAGCGTGGTGGTCGTGGTGGTGGTGATGGCGGTAATTGGTGTTGGTCGTTGTCGTCGCGGTGGATGTGGTTGCGGTCGCATCCGTTTGTGGTGATCGTGGCGGCGGTAGTTTTGTGCTGGCGGCGGTTGCGGCGGTTGTGGCGGCGGCTGCGGGGACCTGTTGGCCTATCGCCGGGCTGCGTTCAGCAGCGTCGCTGCATGTGTAATGTTGGGGGATTTGCTGATTTGCCGAGGTCGCCCAGCGGCCGCCTTCTTCTCGCCAAGAGGGCCGCAGCGTGGGCGACTTTCTGTTTCCAGAAGGCGACCAGCCTTTTCAGCGGCCGTGGAGAGGGCGACGCGCGTGCGATCCGCCCCGTGGGTGTCCGCCGCGCTGGCGACGCACTCAGCAAGTTGCCCCCTTGCGAGCGCGACGCGCACGTTCGAGAGGACGGCTGGCCATTTCGGCGGCCGACGCACGGGCGGCGCACGGGCGACGAATGCGCGACGCACCTCCTGTCGCGAAGGGGGGGGGGTCAGCACGCCGGTCGCTTTACTGGGCCTCAACAGGCTCTTCTGCGTGGTCTTGAGGTCCTCTTGGGGCTCTTGTGGGGGTCATTGGGGCCCTCTTGGGGCTCTCTTGGGGCTCTTGCAGGGCCATCTTGGGGGCCATCGACCACAGGAGGGGGGGGTACTAGATTGAGTCCTCCCCACTAGCCCTCAAAGTGGCCTCTTGGGCCGCTTTTGGGCCGCTCTTGGGCCGCGCTTGGGCGCTCTTGGGACCGTATTGGGGCTCTCTTGGGCCATTTTGGTGTCTCCTTGAGACCTCAAGAGCGCATCGGAAACGAAGAAGCGGGAAGGCCCAAACCATTGATTTCTATAGGTTTGGGAAGGATTTTTGGCCTCCTTGGGGAGCCCCGAGGGGGCTCTGAGAGCACTTGGGGCCGGCTTGTGGCCCTCTTGGGGCCTCTTGGAGGCCTGTCGGAAGCTATCTTGCACCATCTTCGGCTATCTTGGAGGCCATCTTGGAGCATCAGATGCCCTCTTGGGGCCAATTTGGGCCATTTTGGGCGCTCCAACTACCCGCGGCACCCTCTGTCCAGGTCCAGGGGAGGGGGTAGGGGGAGGGGGAACCCCTCCCCCGAGCAGGGGAAGAAGGGATTGTCTAGATTGTCTTGACAGAGGAAAGAGAGACCTCGTTAGACCACCTGTCGCCCAGAGGGCTGGTGGGATTTTACGAGAGATTGGTGGCCTCGGTGAGGCCTCAGGGGCACGAATGGGTCGTTTTTTTACGAGGGGTTGTGTCTGGGGCGCCGTCTTGGAGCCCTGTTGGACCGTCTTGGAGCTCTCTTCGGAGCCTCTTGGGACGCCTTGGGGCCGTCCTGGAGCAATCTGAAGTCGTCTTGGAGGCGTACATATTGGCTTAGGGAACGCGAATCTGTTTTTTTAAGGGCTGGTGGCCTCGGTGCGGCTCGGGGCCGTCAATGTGTCGTTGTTTTCGAGGGATTGTGGCCTCGGTGTAGTCTCGGAGGTGCGAATGTATTCTCTCACGAGGAAAAGGCCGAAACGAGCATGCCCGGTATTGGCGCCCCGCTGTGAGTAGCGGGAGGGGTCGGCCCTGAGAAAACGTACAGAAGCCCTACAAAACAGCACCGGGCATTCTAGCACGCCCCAGCGTGGCAGGGGGCACGGTGGCGGATAGCAGTGTGTCGCGCATCAGCGCGGCCTGGCACAGAACCAGTCGACAAGGAGGTTTGACAATGGCCGGGGCATGGGAGAAAAAGGTTCAGAAGGAAGGGGGGGAGGCGAAGGTGAAGAAGGGGAGAGGGATCGAGAATCCTGGGCGGGGTGTGTGGGGGGAAAGGGATGGCACGGGCAGGGAGGATCAGGGGATGTCCTTGTGCATATCCGTTGTCCTTGCCCGCGCAGCCGCTGGCGTGGCCGCCGCCTCCCTCCCCCCTCATGGCCCCCCAGCCGGGGCGCACCCCTCCCCCCGCGGGCGCGCAGCCGCTGTGCAGCTTCGGCCCTCACCCCTCTCGATTGGGGCTCCTCCTCCTCCTCCTCCTCATCATCATCCTCCTCCTCCCCCTCCTCCTCCTTTTCCTCCTCCTCCTCCTCCTCCTCCTCCTCCTCCTCTTCCTCCTCCTCCTCCGCCTCCGCCTCCGCCTCCGTCTCCTCCTCCTCCTCCACCTCCTCTTCTCCTCCTCCTCCTCCTGATCTGCATCGCGATCTCTTCTCACTCGGCTAGTGGAAAACAGGATCTCCCAACGGAGCGCAGCCGCTGTAAGGGGCGTTCCCTCCTCGCCACGAGGCTCGTTCGGTAGCAAATCTGGAATTCTGTTTTGAGCGTAGACTGGCGTCGACTAGCGCCTGGGAGTCGATGAGATAGCGCCGATTCAGCGTCGGCTAGCGTCGATCAGCGTTGACTTAGCGTCGATTGGCGTCGATTGAGCGTCGACTAGCGTCGATTCGCAAGAGCTGACAAGATGGCATGGAAGGCTCCCATGACTTGCCACCGAAGGTTCGGGGGCGCCCTCGACGAGGGGTGGGCGCCGCCCGAGCCACGGCGCCCTGACGTTGAACGACCACCTCCGTCTCCCTCAGGAAGATCGGCGGCTTCTCATCGAGGAAGAAAAAACGGCATGAACATAAACTTTCGAAGCTCCGCGCCGATCTCTTGGATCTGCGTTGGGCCCCCCTGGCGGCGCCGCCAGCGCTGCCACTGGCGCGCGCGCCAGGGATGGGGGTCCCGCGCAGATTTAGGAAAGTCGCGCGGAGCGTCGAAAGTTTCTGTTCTCGTTGTGTGTTTCTTCCTCGATTTAAATTTAGATTCCAATGTCCTTCCGAGCTCTGGGCCATGCGAGTTCCGAGCTCGTGGCGCAGGGACCCGAGCCCTCTGGCGGCGCACCGCAGGGGCGGGGGCCCACCTGCCGCACTTTCGCACGGAATGCGACCTACCCCGCCGCGGGACCGCGACCTGGCAGGAAATGCGTCTCCACCTTGGCTTCCAGCTGCACAGCGAGCGATGACGACGGGCCCCAGCGTGCAGGCACCCAGGACGTCAGGCCCCACCAGCGAATGACGTTAGGCTGCTACTTCCAGTCATTGGCAGCGCTGGGCTCCGGCTTCGGACCGGTAAAGTCGCCAGGACGCACGTGCGACATGAGTATGGTGGTGACGCTGATGATGATAGCGATGCTGCTGCTACTGATGCTGTTGATGCTTTTGATTTTGATGCCGATGATGATGAGGGGGAGGAGGACGATGATGATCATCATCACGCCGCTGCTGATGATGAGGATGGTTACGGTGACGATGAAGTTTGTGAGGAGGATGTGGTTGTGGATGCGGATGCGGATGTGGGTGAGGATGATGATGCTGACGATACCGATGATCACTTATGATTGTGAGATTGGTAAATATAAGGACGACGATTCGGATGATGATGCCGATGACGGTGATGATGGGGATCCTCATCATGATACTGATGAAGACAATGATGATGAGGATGGGGACGAGGATGAGCATGATGATGCGACTGGTGATGATGATGATGACGATGATGATGATGATGATGTTGTTGATGATGATGATGGCGATGATGACGACGACGATGATGATGCTGATGATGACATTGACGATGATGATGGATGATGATGATTATGATGATGATGATGCTGATCATGATCATGATCATGATCATGATCATGATTATGATGACAATGGTTGTGGTGGTGGTAATGACGATGGTGAAGGCGATGATGATGAGGATGATGATGATGACGGTGATGATTTTGATGATGGTGATGATGCTGATGATGATGATGATGGTGTTGATGATGATGACAATGATGATGATGATGATGATGAAGATGATGATGATGATGATGATGATGATGATGATGATGAGGATGATGATGATGATGGTGATAATGATAATGATGATGATGATGATGATGATGTTTATGATGTGTATGATTATGATGCTGATGCTGATGATGATGCTGATGCTGATGCTGATGATGATGCTTATGATGATGATGATGATGATGATGATGATGATGATGATGATGATGATGATGATGATGAGGATGAGGATGAGGATGATGATGATGATGATGATGATGATGATGATGATGATGTTGTTGTTGTTGTTGTTGATGATGATGATGATGATGATGCTGATGATGATGATGATGATGCTGATGCTGCTGATGATGTTGATGATGACGCTGGTGATGGTGGTGATGATGATGCTGATGCTGCTGCTGCTGCTGCTGATGATGATGATGAGGAGGAGGAGGAGGAGGAGGAGGAGGATAAGGATGATGAGGAGGAGGATGAGGATGAGGATGAGGATGAGAATGAGGATTAGGATGAGGATGAGGATGAGGATGAGGATGGTGATGATGACAATGATGATGAATGCGCGGGCTGACTGGCGCAAGTCGCCCAGGCGGTGTGAAGATCCACCTGGTCGTGAAAGACTCGGGCGGCTTCCAGCAGCACGCTGGCGAGCCGCCGGCCCCGGAGGACGCGCCGGCTCCGAAGGAGGTGACGCGGGGCCCAGAGCTGCAACCAGGACGCCACTCCACCCCCCAAGTGAACTCGATTGTCCTGGTAGGGCAGCAGGGGGGAGGAGGAGGAGGAGGAGGAGGAGGAGGAGGAGGAGGAGGAGGAGGAGGAGGAGGAGGAGGAATTCGAGGACAGGAAGGAGAACGGAGGAGAAATGAGGGAGAGAGGGAGGGAGGGCAGGAGGGAGGAGGAAGGAGGGAGGACTGAGTGGGGAGGAGGGCGGCGGTGGACGGAGGACGCAGGATGGAGGACGCAAGCCGGAGGGATGGACGGCGGGGTGGTGAGCTGAGCTGGCGCTGGCGCTCGCGGCGTGTGCCGGACGATCTGCACGGTCCCGTGCGCGCGCGGGCGTGCGGGAGTGGGTCGTCGCCCTCGCACTCGCGGGGAGCCTCAGAGTATGTCGCGTCCCAGGTGCCGCGTGCTGCGATAAGTAGCCCACGTGCAGCCTGGGGTGCTGCGCGAGAGCGTCTGCGCGTGCGCCAGCCGTGCGGGGCAGCCTGCTTTTCCCTCTCTCCGCGGCCGCTTCTCTTCCCCGCTCTTCGGGCCCCCCTGTGCGCGATTCGCTTCGCTGTGGCCCAGCGCCTGCCCCGACCGACTCGCGCGTTCGCCGAGTCCGCGGCCAAGAGAGTGCGCCGGCTGTTCCTCGGCCGCTGTGCTGGCTGCAGGTCGGGGCGCTTCTTGCCGCGAGGCGTGGGCGAACGCGCTGGGCTCGTGGACGGCGAGACGTGGGGTGGGAGGCCCGACGTGGCAAGGTGGCGCAGGTGGCAATGGGGGAGTTGCCGCTCGGAGGAGCCCGTCAGTGCTCGGCGCGTGGTCCGCGGGTGGTCCGGGCCACTCCGCGAGGCAGGTGGGTCTGTCTGATCATGTGGGCGTAGTTGGGGACCGTTGAGGGCTGAATGACAGCAGCGTTGGCGGACTGGGCGGGGTGTCTGGCCATTTGACCGTGTGGGCCACTTGAAGGTTGAATGACATAACTCGTGGTCGTCACATCGACGAACGGCTTCAGACGAGGGCTCCCTGCAAAGGTCTTCGTGTCTCGGCGCCCATCGTGGCGCTCTGGCCCGAGTGCTGTGTTGCATTTGCCGCAAGCTGTAAGTGGCGCGCCTTCAACGCCCCTGGGATGCGATGGCTCCCCTTGGAAGGGGTGCCGACAACCTCGAGCTCAGCGGGAGGGGGCCGCGAAGTTGGCCGGGGCCGCCTCTCTGGGATGCCGGCCCTCGCGCGGCCTGGTTTCCGATCCCTCGGGCGTACACATAGGTACGTCTCCTCTGCTCCCTGCCTAGCCCCATCCTGAACCCAGGAGCTGTGTGTACGCCCTCCTGGCCAAGCGGGGGGGGGCGTGATGTATACGCCGCTGCTGGGTTCAGGGTAGGCCTGGCCAGGGAGCAGTGGATAGGTAGAGCCTCCGTCGCCCTGGGGCCGTGTCATCGAATGCCTGGCGCAGGCTGCGGCCGGGGCCGAGGGAGCGAGGGCCCCGCCGCGCGGGCGCGCGGGAGCTGCTGACGCCCGAGGTCGCCGCCGGAAGGCCTGCGCCGCGCGCGGCCCTGGAGTCGAAGGGGCGTGGGGGGCGCTTGCGGAGGCGGCGGCGGAGTGCGGCGGGCGAGGCCCCGGCGCGGGCGCGGGGGGCGGAGCCTGCCTCCAGTCTGGGGTTGTCGAGGCGACACGCTGGTGTTTACGGACCACTGCCCACCTCACGTGGTGCTGGATGATCCATAGTTTGGGCCGCTGGGGGGGGGCCTGGGGCTTCAGCGCAAGACCGCTTGCCGCTTTCGCTTGCCAGGGCACCCTCCGGGCCTCAGCTCTTCCTCCCCTTTTTCCCTTATTGATCGCGTTCAAGCACGGGTGGGGTTCCTGTGCAGCGCTTCCTGTACGTCTGGGTCGAAACTGACGAAGCGAGCGAACCTTCAGGCGACTTCATCGCGGGAGCAAAAAAAAATTGGCCAGTGCGTAAGCCGACACCCTGAGTGTGCTAACAGCGTTGCGCAAGGCCCCTCCCTGGGCGACAGCAAGCGCAGACTGGTCGATCTTGAGCTGTCTCCGCTGCTGGGGGCCTCCCCAGCGGCCGTCGGGGCCTTCAGCCTTGAGTGTCTGTGCCCCGGCTAAGCGTGAACCTGGCGGACTCGGGAAATGGCCGGCACGGCGACGCGGATGGGCCCACACCTCAGGCGAGGAAGAGGAGGAGGAGGAGGAGGAGGAGGAGGAGGAGGAGGAGGAGGAGGAGGAGGCCGCGGCTTAAAATCCCCCCCCCCACGCATCAATTCCTGGATTTGGAGCGGCCGAGCCGTAACCGTGGCCCCCGGGCCCTGGCATGCAGCGGTTTCAACGGCGCGGGCAGCCTTCTTGCATGCGTGAGCAGCTTGGTCTTCGCCGCGCCAGTGCGTCGCGCGCGCCAGTCTGCTCTGGCGCAGCCAGCGCGAGCTTCAATCCGGGCCCCAGTGCGAATCGCTGCGAGCGCGATCGTTTGAGCATGCTCCGCACGAGCTTCAGCAGCACCTGGCGTGTTTCCGACGCGGGTGCCTGCGCTTGTCCTGCCCTGTTCAGTGGGCGCTGCGATATTTTGCTAGTCTGCGAGTCTTTATTGCTGTTCGTCGGCTTGGTTTCTGTTGGTTCTCTCCGCGCGCAGGCATCAGCGGAGCCGCCCTCGAGATGCAGGCGAGGCGTGCCCTCGCCCTTTTTTGTTTTGTTGAAGGCTTTCGAAAACGAGAGCCCGAGTCACTGCGGCGAGAAAAACTTCCTTCCTCCCTCCCACGCTCGCCCCGCGGCCCTGCCGCGGCAGTCGACCCCCCCGTCCGAAAGCCGGTCCCGCGATGCGCGCCCACTACGCGAGCGCTCAGGTAGCACGCGCCCCCTCGTGTGCCGTTGGGGCCCTCGCGGGGCGGCCCCGGATAAACATCGAACGGACGAAACGGCGCGTTCGTCGACAGCCGCATCCGACGGAGCCGGACAGATCGCCTCCGAGGGCTTCCTCGGGGTTCCCGGCGTGCCGCGGGGGGGGATCATGTCTGGGCCCCTGGTGGGTTTCTTCCGTGCGGTATCAGGGGCAGGGTAAATCCGTGCGCCTCGCCCCCATCTCCTCGACCCTCGTTCTCTCGTCTCCTCGACCCTCCTGCTTTCCCTTCCACCTTGTCCCGATCCCTCATATCCTCGACCCTCTTCCGGCCTCCTCGTTGTCATCTCCTTCACCTTTCCCGTCTCCATGTGTTCGCGTCACCCCGCCCCGTCGTCACCCCCGCAGTCCTGGCCCCTGTCTCCTTCACCTCGCCTGCCACCCATCGCCCCTTTGATTCGCCTCACCTCAAAACCTCGGCCGCTCTCCTCGCCCTTCGTTTCCCTCGTCCCACCGTCGCCTCCCTCCCTTTTATCCTCCTCGTCCCTGCCTCGCCACCAACAATCATGGGCGACTGGCGAAGTCCAGCAAACTGCGGGGGGGATTGCTGTGCCCGAGCAGCATTTCGGTTTCCTGCTCAGCCTCGGCTGTCCGCGCGAGAGCATGTTAAACAGCCCTGAAAGAACAAAGCGTCCAATCCGAATACACTGCATAGCGCCAGCAGCTTTGCGAGGGGCAGACAGCCACGGCGAAAACAGACGTCAGCAGCAGACCCTTCAGCCTCCTGCGGGGCCAGAAGCAGGGCGACCCGCTCGGCTCCCTACTTGACAACACTCTTCGACAGCACATCCTTGGACCGCTGGTCTCCGCATGGCAGCAGGAAAAAGGGTGTCCAATTAGGACTCACGGGCACCGCCACGCCCACCAACCTACGTTTCGCCGACGACGTGCTCCTGACCATGCAGACTCTCCCGCGTCGGACCACGATGCTTGACGACGCTGCGCGCGCGGCAAAGTTGCACGGGCATGAACTACACCCGAGCAAAACAATAGATTCAGCAACCGAACGAAACGGACTGGAAGGGTAAGCTCACGCACAGCGCGTGTCCAACACATGGATATATGAATCACCCCGCACGAGGGCAGCCTCAAATACCTCAGCCAATTCCAAGTGATCAGCTTCCACGAACCGATGGACACGGAAATTCAGCACCGCACGAGAGCGGCATGGGCATCGTTCACCTCGCGTAATCAGGAGTGGATCATTAATCACTACCCACTGGTTCACCGACGTCACCGACAGCGTTATATGGTGCAGAGATTCGACTAACGGAACCCCTGCGGTAGCACTTACGACGGACGCAACGACGCATGCTTCCCATGATCAGCAGAATTCCGAGGCGACGCACAACTACACAAGCAGACCCTCGCAGCAGCCACGGGACCACTGCCGTCGACGCCGCAGACGACGAAGCACCTGACAACGATCACTGCACCAATTGCACTAGCGACGACGACGACGACGCAGACAGCAACCCACTCCGGCGCGACACGCCTGCCACACCTGACGTGCACAGCGAGGACGGCGAAGACAGGACCACAGCAGACACGGTGGAACTTTGGGTTGAATGCAGTCAGCAAGCGACACGACGCGCAGAGCACCTCATGAAACTCCATCTCATCGACAACTGGACGACGGTGCACAAGCGAAAGGTAAGGTATGGCGCATGGTTTCCAGAGCCGCAAGCCATGATCGCACGCGGTGGACATGGCGAGCGTTGCAGCGGCAACCAGACCTCCACCTGCGCGGGCGGGGACAGAGGCAACACGGTCGCCAGCGCAAGAGTTGGGACAACACGGGCGGTACGCCAGCGCAGACAAGATTTCAACCGCCCGCCCGCACATAACCCATTCGAAAGGTGAACCACACGACATCACATGGACGCCAACAGCCCAGGACACCGAAGCATGGACGGCACTCGAGCATCACTGCGCCACCCCCGCACCATCAAGCATACAGGACCAAGCCTTGTAGCACGAATTTCACTACCCGCGCCAACGCCGATACCAAGGACTTCTTTTCTCTCCCTTAACCCATACCGACACGCACGAGCATACCGTGCAGCGCGCTGGCATCGACGCCATGACCGTCCCCCCCTCCCCTCATTGTTTTATTTGTGTGATCTGCATTGCATGTTGCCCAGACACGCCAGACTTCTGAGGCCACGGCCTTGGCCACCTGGTTTTGGTTTGGCCCGGACGATGTCCGCAACGGAGGTCGTATCGTATCGTCTCCTTCTCCTTCTCCTATTCCTTGTCCCGCTCCCCTGTTCGTCCCCTTTTTGTTCCCTTCTTCTTCCGCCTTCGCTCGTCCTTTGTCCCTCCTCAGTCCTCCCTTCTCCGCCCCGCATGGCGAGGATTATCGAATCATCGAACGTTCAATCGCCCGTCACACGAAACGAAAAAGAAACACCAGCCTTCTGGGCGCACGTGGTTTAGGGCGGAGTTGTTCATGCCCATTCCTTCCCCTTCGGGTGGGGGTTCGGCCCGTCGCTGGCCCCCTCCCCGGGGGCGTGGACCGAGGCTTCGTTCAGGTGCCAGGGAACTTGTTTTGACACAGGATGATTCCAAGAGTGTCCCTGGTGCCCCAGCGTGGCCCTCAACGGCGCAACATAGCTTGACTTGGGCCGATATTTTTTCCTAGCGTGCCAGTGAAAGACGTCAGGATGGTTCCGAAACAGCTCAAGGTGACCACGGGCCTCTCCTGGATGCCCCCCCCCGAGCGGCCAACAGCTTCGAATAGTGCAATGTGTTGCAATGCCTCTTGCTGTTTCGCCGTTTCGCCTCGTCCCTGAGTGGGGCCCAGAGAAGGATCACAGCGATGATCTGTTCCCTCTGCGCGAGTCTGCGCACCCTTAACCACATGCGCGGTGATTTTCGAATGCGCGCGCATGCTTCCGCGTGCTTGCGTTCGAGCGCGCGCGCGCGCGCATTCGCTCCAGCCTGCAAGGGCGCTGGCCACTCTGCCCACGACCCCCCGCCGGTTTGTCCCTGGACGTTCGCAACTACCTGTGCGTGCTCTCCCGTATACGCAACACAACGCTACGCGCCCCGCCAGTCCCTGCATCGGCTCGTCGAGTCCGGGCGACATCCGCTCGCGCATGCCCGTGCCGCGCCCGCTTTGCACGCGCCTGCCTTGTGCCCACTCGCCCGTGGTTTGCCGCGCGAGCGCCAGCGTGCCGCGGCCCCCCCGGGCGTCGCCCGGCTCCGCGGCGCCCGCGCCCCCCCTGCGTCACGAGTCGCTGCCCCGCTGCTGCCCGAGGATCGTCCCGATGCGGCCCCGCCGCCGTGCTGCAGCAGCGCTGCCGCTGTGCTGCCGCCCTCGGCCGCGGCCCCGCGGTGCCCCCCCCCCCCCCCCCTCCCCCGTTCTTGCGCCTCGGAGTGGCGGCCGCGCCGCAGCCCCGCGGCGGTCCCGCGCGCCGCTTTCCGCGCGCGGGGGGCCCTCGCCTCGACGGGCGCAGGCCGCGGCCTCCTCTCGCGGCGCGCGGCGGGGGGCCTCCGAGCGGCGTCGGGCGCGCCGAGCGCGCGCGGCAGAGGCCCGCGCGCGCGAGCGGGGCCGCGACCTGGACAGCCGCTCGCGCGGAGCGGCGCGCGCAGCCGCTCGAGACAGTTCACGCATCTGCGCTGCCAGCTCTGGAAGCCTGGCACTCGCGGCCAACGAGTGGCCCCGTCTTTCGGGCCCGCCCCGCGCGGGATTCCCACGAGGTGCGCGGCGCGTGCGCGCTGGCGAGCAGGGGGGGGGGCACTGTCGGCGCGGCTGCGGCCGCCACGGAGGGCGACGTGCGGACACGGCACGGCGTGACATCTTCGGAGGCTGAAGCTCGGTTGACGACTTCGGCCCAGTGGGCCCGCGCGTCTGGCCTCCTCGGGCGGAGCGCCACCGCCGCGGGCCCGTGGCCCTTCCAGCGTGATCCGCGCGTGTGCGGCGAGGAGGAGCGCCTCCGCATCCGTGAGCACGTCTGGACACGAACGAGCACCAGCCCCTGCCGCGGCTCGCTCACCCTGGCCATCGCGGCGTTTTCTGGGGGGCGCGACATGCGTGAATCGAGCGAGGGGAGCCGGGCACGGATGGAGTGGGGGCCCCTTCGATGTCGCTTCGACTTTCGTTCTGGGCCGAAGCATAGAGAGACCGGCGCGACGAATTTAGGGTATCTGTCCCGCGCTGGGGGCGGAGGGACGCCGCAACGTCGTCGCTGGTCTATGGATATTCTCGTGTCCACGCATTCCTCTCGCCGCCCTTTCGCCTCGAGTTATCGTCCGAGGTTGCTTCGCCCGCTCCGTGCTGGCGCTTCTTCGACGTGCCGCATATCTTGCAGCCGTCGGCCCATCTGGCCACTGAGGCCCTTTGGATGCATAATGGGGTCTGCTGGGCGTCTCTTGGGGACCTCTTGTGGGGGCCTCTCCCTGGTCTCCGGGGCTGCTTCTCGTTGCCAGGCTCGAAATTGCAGCCCCCTCTTGGCCCCTTCGCCCTTTCTTCGGGGCCTTGGGGGCTCTCTTGGGTGGGTCTCGGTGGCCTCGTGGGCTGGCTCGGACGCTCTGAAGATAGAAAATGCTGCAGCGCTGAATCCATGGATTTGGGCCGGCCCCCGGGGCCTCGAAAACGTCCAGGATGCGCCCTGGAGGGCTCCGGGATGGGCCCTGGGGCCATCTTGGGCCGCGCTGGAAGCGCGGAGGCATGATAGCGCGCGTGAGGCCCCCAGCAAAGTCGCGCAAACAACCTCGGGAGTGCCCAAGATGGCGCAGAGATCTCGGCCCTGTGCCCAGAGAGAACCAATAAGTTTGAAGGCGCTCCACTTATTTATTACGGCACGGTGGTGGATGAAAAACCTCAACATCACACGCCAATCAAAATCGTCTCCCCTTCTCTGTCAGCTAAATAGTATACAGCCGAGCGGGCAAATCTGGCTGGCAACGTGTTCTTGGCGGTGCCAAGGACGTTGTTCCATCTTCTGAACGTTTTCGCTTGTTCGCGGGTGTGGGGCGGGGTCAGTGATGGAAATGATGATTCATCTCCATGACCATTGCGGGATGGGTGGCAGAACGTCCACCCCCCCATCCTGTCTTGACGACTGGCGGAGGGATGGACGCGCTCACCGTTCCAGCTAGAAAGGGACGTCACTGACATCGCTACCAATATCTTGGTATGAGACGGGGTGGAACGGTCGGCTTTCCATCTTCGAAGGAACGGCGCATGCACAGCTGCCGTTTTTGCGTTTGATAGGAGATGGGGCGTGCAGGGGCATGTCCAGCATTTCCGCAAAGCGAACGGATAGCATGGCCACTTCTTCGGTCTGTATTGAGCGTGCTAGCGGTGGGATGGATTGATATCAGTTGTCGCCATTCCATGTTGTCCGGATGGCAGTGACGGAACCGACTCCCTACCCTGTATGGAGGAGCGGAGGTGTCAAGGCCGCTTGTGGAGGAACATGTTGACGGACATGTTCAGGCCGAGCCAACCGCGTAGTAACGCACACACCACAAGCACCGCGTACCTACTATGTTGAAACCACACCAGACAACAAGCGCACTAACTTTCACAACGCGCGAAGCAGTTTCAAAATCCAGTCAGCAGGATCCCTCGTGTGTGTGTGTGTGTGTGCATTCACGTATTCGCGCGTTTCTCTTTGCGGTGCCAGCGCAAAAGTCAAGCGCGGGTAATACGCTTGCCCTCCTCCTCCCCCCCTTCTCCCAGGCCAAGTGCGTTCCTCCTGCTCTTCTCTGCTTTGTTCCGCGTCCTCCTCGCCATCCTCGACTCCCTTTCCTTCGCCTCCTCATGGGCTACGTGCACTCTTCCTCCTCTTCCTCCTCCTCCTCCTCCTCCTCCTCTTCCTCGTCATCCTCCGCTTCCTCCCGCCTCCTTCTCTTGCCCACCGCCTCGCGCCGCCTCTCCGTCATCCTGCCTCCTCCCCCCCTCGCCGTCCCTTTCCCCCCCTTCCCTCCCATTCCTTCTCCTTTTCCTTGCCAGTGGGCTGCGAGGTGGGCGCCGACACCACGATAGAAGGGCCCCGGGCCCCCGCGCTGACCCTCAAGGGTCCCGTTTCCGCGGATCCGTGCGTTTCGCTTCCTTCTCTTCCGCACCCCTCCCGCGCGTGGACTCCGCAGGTGAAGGACTGGAGCAGGGACAAGAGACAGGAGTGGGGCAAGGGCGGCCATCCGCAGTGGCCTGCGTGGCAGGCTGAGTCGACGCAGCGGAGGCGTTTGCCAGAAGAGCAGGAGGAGGAGGAGGAGGAGGAGGAGGAGGAGGAGGAGGGAGGGGGGAGGGAGGGGGGAGGAGGAGAGGAGGAGGCACGACCACATCGAGAAGAACGCGGGGCGTGCGCCGAGGCTTGGTTGGGTGTGCTCCTGCGGCTCGGCAGCGTTGCCACACCAGGTCCATTCAGTACGCGGTAACCCTGAGCCTGACCGACCAGGGGCACGTGGTCAGGAGGCGCGACGCCGCGCGCGACTGCTTGGCCAGCGGGCTTGCGCAGCACACACCTCACGTGGTGCGGACCGAGCAAATGCTGCCTGAGGTCAGCAGCCCCAGCAGCGAGGGTCGAATGGACATCGTCGCGCACGACGCCACGCCACTGGCGCCCGAATCCTCGTGGACATTGTGGTCACGCACGCCGCCCAGGTCGACGCGGAATCGCTGGCACGTGCCACGCAGGTGAACGGGGCCGCAGCGGCTGTTGCGGAGCGACGGAAGCGCGAAAGGTACCCGAGGGCATTCGGTTTGGTGCCGTTTGTCCTGGAGATTGGCGGCAGGCCAGGAGCCGCAGCCCGCGCCCTGGTGCGGCGCCTGGCGGTGACGGACGTGGCCCAGCGGACCGAAGCGATTGGCGGCCTCTGGCAGTCGCTCGGGGTCCTGATCCAACGGGCCAACGCCTTGCGCGTGCTTGCTTTCGTGCGCCAATGGGTCAGCTGATTAACCCACCTCTTCTCCCTCCTCCTCCTCCTCCCTCCTCCTCCTCCTCCTCCTCCTCCCTCCTCCCTCCTCCTCCTCCTCCTCCTCCTCCTCCTCCTCCTCCTCCTCCTCCTCCTCCTCCTCCTCCTCCTACACCGCCATGTGCACGAGCGCGCCTCTTGTGCACCGAGCCCTTCCCCCTCACGAAGTCGCTACCGGCGATTGCGTGGAAGAGGTTGTACGTGATCGAGTGCTCGTCGGCCCAGCACGGTGCACACCATTTGCCGGCTGCGAAGCGAGTCGCTTCCAGCTTGTCCTGCGCGGTCGCCTCGAGAGCACTGTGCGCGACTCGCCATCTCCGTATGGTGGACGTCGCCGCTCTCCACAACGTCGCCGCTAGATACACCTCCACGCTCTGCGGCACAGCAAAGCCTCCCCACCCACCAAACGAGAAAATATCGGCCTTGGTGAAGCTGGAGGGGGCGGCTCGCAGGACTTTGTGAATCGCGAAGATCTCACGTTCCAGCATCTTGCAAGACGGAGGGAGCAGCTGGCCCACGTAGCTCAGCGTGGTGATCGCCGCGGCATTATGAATCTGAATGCCCACCTGCGGAGGCGTGCGAGAAGTCGCCAGTAACTGCGAACGCTCCCACCATTTCAGACTGGGGCCAATCCATTGAATCTCGCGCGTGGCCCCAGGCCCTATGAAGACGCCCAAGAACTTCGCCATCGCCTCGATTTTGAAATCCCGCCACGGGGCGTGTATCGAAGACAAGTAGGTGCGGAACTCCTCGACGAGAGACGGACGCGGGAGCGTCCAGACAGGGACAATCACGCACTTTTTCGCCTGGAGCTTGAGGCCCGCCAGAGTCTCTGCCGCGATCAGCTTGGGGCTGCCGATTCCTTTCTCTGCCGCGCCCACCGCATTGCAGCCATGCATGGCAAGCGAGCGTTGACCGCCCGCGAGCTGAAACGCAACGTCCGGGAACCAGCAGGGGAAATGCAATGCCCGGGGACCGACGTGAATGCTACGGACCCCAGCTCCATCGGGAAGACGACGAGCCCCCAGCAGGTATATATGCGCACTTTGAATAGCCACTTCTACCCCGATGAGTTCGAGCTGACCGCCCGCAAAAGGCTTCAGGCTTGGTTCGGTATTCAATTTCATATCCCTGCTGATCTTCGGCGTCGTTGGCGTGCTGCTCGCGAGGTCTTGCAACGGCTCCCACCGTCTAGAGTATGGCCGGTACTGAAAACATTGGCGGGGAGTTCGACTACTTCGTTTCGCATGCACGTGGTGCCAGAACAGAAAATATGCCGATTCAACTGCTACCAGTGCGACTACTCCATTGACCACTACCTCCGCTGCCGCGCATTATGGCACCTTGTGGCGTTGCCCCGTGGTGTGCTTCATGCAGATATCCTTGTTCGGCTCGGACTCGGAGCAGAGCATCAACACCGTGGGGAAAACGCTCGGTTGGACTGCCTGACACGCGTGGCCATGATGTTTCGCTTGTACCACCACTTCAAAGATTACGACATTCAGAGTTACGACGCACATGCCGCTGCTATCCCAGCAGTTCGTGCTTCTCTGAGGCTTCGCGAGAGCCTGACGGGTGGCGCGGGGGCATCGGCGGCATAATCTGGAGCGTCTCTCATGGGGACGTTCGCTCCCGCTCCTCCTCCTCCTCCTCCTCCTCCTCCTCCTCCTCCTCCTCCTTCCTCCTTTTCCTCTTCCTGCTCCTCCATCTCCTCCTCTTCCTCCCTCTTCCCCCTCCTCCTCCCTCCTCCTCCTCCTCCTCCTCCTCCTCCTCCTCCTCCTCCTCCTCCTCCTCCTCCTCCTCCTCCTCCTCCTCCCCCTCCTCCCCCTTCTCGAGCGTTCACCCAGGCATTACTGTCACGGGTCGCTCGTTTTGGCGACTTAGCGCTGTCCTCGGGGGGCAGAATTTGTCCGCCCCGGCTGGCGCCGGAGTCGGAACTGTGTGCAGCATTCGCTGCTTTGCTGCACACCTGATCCGCGCCTATTCTGGCAGGCCGCGGTTGCCGCATATCTTTTCGCCCCCGCCCCTCCTCCTTTTCCTGTCCCTCTTCCTCTCCCTCTTCTTCCCCGCTCCTTGCCTCCGGCGGGGGCGCGCGGTGCCCGGCGGCGTGTTCCGGTGACGCGCGCCGCGCGGCCGCGGCCCCTTCCTTCCCCTTCCTTCTTCCCTGCCTCGCTGCTTCGTTCCCCCTTCGCTGCGGCCGGTTCCTCCGTGCCCCTTCCCTCCCCTTCCCTGCCTCGCTGCTTCGTTCTGGGCGAGGGCGCGCCGCCCGGTCGCCGGCGCCCAGGCGGGAGGCGCACCCTGGGGAGTCGGGCGGCGAGGCCCTGCAGTGCTGTTGCTCGCCCAGGGAGGGATGTGTCGGAGGTGGATGGACCTCCTACCCTGACACGTCGATTCAGGAATTGGCCGTTTCCGGTTCGCGAGAGGGCGTCGCGGCCGTCATTTTTGCGGGTCCAGGTCCGTCGGTTTCGGTCCCAGGCCGTTTTCATTAAGGGGAGGTTTACTAAAGGGAGGTTTGTCCACCGCCGAATGGGCGACAGCGCAGCAGATCCGGGGACGGGCCGCGCAGCCTGCCGGGGACCAGCGTGGCGCATACACAGGTGGGTGCATCCCCGCGGAGCTCCGACCATGTCTGCTCGTCCAGGGTCGCACTGCGCAAGGCCGGCAGCGCGGAGCTGCGATCCGGGGACGCAGGGCAAGTTATCTGACGTCAGCCAGCGCAGAACCCACCAGCAGTTCTTGACAGGTCGCCGCGGAGCTGCTCCATACTAGCGTCGTGGGTATGCAGCCCTCGGCGCCCTCGGCGCCCAGGAGTCAGGCAGTCGCATGAGATGCATCGTTGGGACGTGCAGGCAGGGCTGTGCGCGCAATCGTTCAAACAACAGAGAGGACAAACTCGCGGTGACAGGAGCATCGCAATTGATGTTAAAGACACCGGACAGCAAATTGGCGCGATGCGCTTTCAGCTTGGCGAGCTACACCAGAATTCGGAATCTGGCGTCGCCTCGGTTGCAGCTGAATCTCAACCAACCAACCCGTCAGACGGAAGCTTTAGAGGTGGTACAGCAATATGACCACAAAGAAAAGGTCGACACAAAGTTTGGGCAACGACGGCAACGCACTGATCAGAGACAGCAGCACGTTGACGACATCAGGAACCACGACGAGTGCGTCTACACGGCCGAGATTGGCACCATCAGGCGAAACAGTTTTGAGTGTGGCAATACATCCCATACCATGAATGGGAAGCAGAAAGTGGACGGACATGTTGCGGCGGATGTTCCCGATGCCAAGGAACATCGGGGTGGCACGAGTGAAAACTATCGAGCGCGCGCAACCTGCCCTGGCGCGGTCTCGCGCCTAAACGTCCCCCTTGGCAGGACGGGAAGGTGGGCTGCTGTGGCGTGACTCTTTGAGGGGTTTTGTCGCGGTTGCCCGCATGTTTCATGAGCGACATTCGGTACCCGGGATGACCACGAGCGGGCGTTCAAGATGAGTTGCCTTGAGCTTTGGCGGCGCGTACAACGAGGTGGCCCGAGGGGGCTGCCTTCTGAGAAGGCGGGGGTGTTCTGCTGATGCAGGGCCTTTTTCGAAACCCTCCCAGCTTCCATGAAGCCTTCTTAGAAGCCTCCTGGCCCTTCTAAGAAGGGCCCTGCCTTCTGAGGCCCCGCCCCCCTTCTTAGAGGTTCCTTTCTTCGCGGCACCGCCCTAGTGCGCGCCGCGAAAACATCCATGGGGAACAGCAGGAGGACGAGGAGGAGGAGGAGGAGGAGGAGGGCGAGGTGGAGGGGGAGGAGGAGGAGGAGGAGGCAGACGCTACTATCTAGGATTAAAGTCCGCTGAAGGATGAGCAGGACGCAGGGGCGGAAGTGGAGCCCCCGCAGCGAAGGCAGCCGTGGCAGCTCAGCGCCCACGCGCAGGCGCCGCCGAGGCCCGCGACGCTCCTGCGGCCAAAGGCGCGGCGGGCCCCGTCGGTGGAAGCGCCTCTCCGCCAAGCGGCTGTTGCCCTGCCTCCCCCCTCCGCCTCCGTCCTTCTCCTTCCTTCTCCTTCCTTCTCCTTTCCCCCTCCCCCTCGTCCCCCCTCCTCCTCGTCCCCCCTCCTCCTCGTCCCCCCCTCCTCCCCCCTCGTCCCCCCGCCTCCTGCCCCCTCCTCCTCCCCCCTCCGCCTCCGTCCTCCTCTTTCCTTCTCCCCGCCCCCCTCCGCTGACTCTGGAGCCGCCGTGCGGCCCGGGGCGCGGCGGGCCCCGTCGGTGGAAGCGCCTCTCGCCCACGCGGATCTTGCCCTGCCTCCCCCTTCGCTTCAGTCGGGCCGGTCCCTCGACAGGACGAATACCCCAAAAATAGGCCAAACAATAGTCTGGGGACGATTGTTTTTTTTTGACCATTTGGGGGTAATGTTGGACTATTTTCTAGGTTTCGCCCAAAATCCCCCTATAGGGGGACACGCCCGACTTAACCCTTCGTCTCCGTCCTTCTCCGTCTGCTCGGGTTGGATTTCCGGTGCACGCCTGTGTCGGGATTGCACCCCACCTGATGCGACAACGCAGGGCGGAAGCCTCCGCCTCACAAAAGCGGGGCGGAGATGTTCGCAGAGTTATAACGGCGCACACAGTTCCAGCAACGACGGGCGGACATCGACGTCAAGGGTACTTGAAAAGCGGGGCGGACATTTCCGCCCTGTTTTGCGAAATCGCCCAACGCACGGCGGATGCGAAGTCAGGGTCCCCTCCCCTTCCCCCTCCTCTCCTCCTCCTCCCCCTCCCCTCTCCCTTCCCCTCCCCTCCCCCCCTCCCCTTCACAATTACTCAATATGAAAAATACTCTCCCTCTTCCCCCTGATGGCGTCCGGGTGATGGCCGCGCACCCTCCGCGTACTGTTTTTTCACACACAGGATCCCCGAAAATCCCGGGAAACGACTCTCGCTGAGGCGCCGGCGTCATTTTTTTTCCAAAATGCTGCTCTCGTTGAGGCGCGGGCCTCATTTTCTGCTCCCGAATTCCGAATCGTGCTCCCGCTGCAGCGTGGCTCATTTCGATCGGTGTTCGCCTCCGTCGTTCAGGATGGCGTTCTCGCCCCAGCGCGGGGCTTTTTTTCGCGCGCCCATCCGGCCGCCACCACCGCACCGCGCCCCCCCCCCACCACCGCCACCACCACACCACCCCACCACCACCACCACCACCACCACCACCACCACCCACACACCACAACCACCACCAGCACCACCACCAGCACCCCAACCACCACCACGCATCACCACACCACCACACCACTAACCACCACCACCCACCACCACCACCACCACCACCACCACCAACCACCACCACCACCACCCACAACCACGCACACACGCACGCACGCACGCACGTGCACCACCACCCACTACGCACGCGCGCGAGCCACAGGTCCGCTACGACACGCGTCCGCGGATAGAGAAAATCAGCGCCATGGTAAGGGATGGGAGGGAGGGGATAGCGTCAGATATGACGCGAGCGCACCTAGCTTGCCCCCTCCCCCTCCCCTCCCCCCCTCTCCGTCCTCCTCCCTTCCCCACCCCCCTCCCGCTCCCCTCCCCTCCCCTTCCCCTGCCCCTCCCCTCCCCTCCCCCTCCCCCTCCCCTCCCTCTGCCCCTGACCCCGCCGTCCTGCCCGCGGCACCTCCCGGGCCAGACCGATGCGCGAGGACCCCGGGGCCCCGAGGCAGGGCGAGGCCGTCCCGTGCGAGGGCCCTCACGTTCGCCGAGCTGTCCTCTTTTCTGAATCCGCGGCCCCCGATCCAGGCATCCCAAGATCGAGGATCGAGGAGGAGGAGGAGGAGGAGGAGGAGGAGGAGGAGGAGGAGGATCGAGGATGGAGGATCGAGGCGGAGTAGTAGGATCGAGGATCGAGGGTCGAGGATCGAGGGTCGAGGCGGAGGAGGAGGATGAGGAGAAGGAGAAGGAGGATAACGAGGAGGAGGAGGCGGAGGAGGAGGAGGAGGAGGAGGACGAGGAGGATCGAGGATCGAGGATCGAGGATCGAGGAGGAGGATCGAGGATCGAGGATCGAGGAGGAGGAGAAGGAGGAGGAGGAGGAGGAGGAGGAGGATCGAGGATCGAGGATCGAGGACGATGTGGGGGCTGAGGAGGATCGTGGGGGGGGATCTGGCCGGCGGCGTCGATCTGGGCCTCCCAGGGCGGGGTTGGAGCAGATGGGATCGGAGGGTCGCGCCGAATCGCCGAGGCATCGGCGAAGCGGCTCGGACCCCATTGGGGAGGCCTCTACCAGATGTCACGACGGCCACCCCTGGAGTAGCTTTTCGTCCCCCCAATGAGAATCAGTCAGGATTGAGAACGTCAGGTCGTCGATCTGGGATCTCAGGGGCCGAGCGTCGAGATCTCCGGGAACGGCGGATCTCCTGCCCAAATCCGCTCAGCGTCGGTCCCGGAATCCCTCCTGGGATCCATCCTGATTCGTTTTTCGAGGCGGGTCCAGCAGCGGCAACGATGGAGCCCGCAGGAGGCCACAACAGGACGGAAAACGCCAGGCACTGCCAAACAAGTACGAAATACCAGGGCCTGCGGCAAACCCCGCCACCGTGCCACCGCGCAAGCGCAGCAGCGCAAGAGGAGGTTGAGTTTAAGACCCCCTCCAGTTCAGTGTTCCGTTTGAACTTGCGCGGGTCTTGAACACACTCTCCTTTCCCGCAGCCTCGTGCTTCTCTTCCTTCGCCCGTCCTTTCTCTCCTCCTCCCCATCCTCCTTCGCACGTTCAAGGCATCTCGGGGGGCTCTCTGGGGCTGTTTGCAAGCCTCGCACTCTTCGAGGCCTGTTGGAGGCTGTGAGTGTGCCCACCCATGGCCGTCAGGCCAGCGGCGACGGGGGCGGGGCCGGCGGGTTCGATTCGATTCGGACATTCATTCCAGCAATCCGAGGCGGCCCGATGCTTGAATGGCGCTGTTGTGCAGCCTGGCGCAGCCGATCCGATCCGATTCGATTCCAATCCGATCGATTCGATGCTGACTGCTCCTGCCCAAGCACGGGGCCCAGAGTTCTGCACCACCACCACCTCCCTCATCCCCCCCCTCTCCCAGGAGAGAGGAGTGGAGTGTGAATGTGCGCGCGATGACGGTCCAGCGGGACCGGCCCTAGGAGGGTGGAGGCGGGAGGAGGAATCGACGTGGTGGTGGTGTATATTCTTGGCCCCCGCACCAGGGTCCCGAGACCGTGAGGCGACGGGCCGTACGTTCACACCGTCTGGGTGCCGAGGCCACCGCACGGCCCGTCGCCCACGCCGGGAGCGGGGGCGCCACGTGTGCGATCCGGGGGAGGGGGGGAGCGGTCCCCCGGAATCGAGGAAGAATCAACGACATAAACATACACTGTTCGGGGGTCTGGGCGGATCTCTTGGATCGGCGCTGGAGCCCCCCGGCGGCGCCTCCAGCGCCAGCCCTGGGGAGGACCGCTGTGCTCCTGCCACTGCTTGTTCCTCGATTGGAAGCAATCCCAGACATCCCCAGACATCCGATGTTGTCCCCTCCTCCTCCCCTCCCCTCCCTCCCCCCGTCCTCCTCCTCCTCCTCCTCCTCGCCCCTCCTCCTCGCCCCTCCCACTCGACTCCTCCTCCTCCTCCTCCTCCTCCTCCTCCTCCTCCTCCTCCTCCTCCTCCTCCCAGTCCCCAGATGTCTGGACCTTCTGCCCAGGGCCAGCTCTCCATCCCGAGTCGCTCCGTGAGGGCCCCGGGGCCCGGCGAGGGGCCCGGCGAGAGGCCGAAAAGCCCGCGAGAGACCTCCGCGCGCAGCCCCTCGAAACGCTGGAGGCCTGCCCCTGCCCAGGCCGTCAGGCCAGCGGCGGCGGGGGCGGGGCTGCCGGCGGCGGACCGCTCGCGGAGCCCGGCAGCTGCGCGGTGGGTGCCGCCGCCCGGTGCCGCGCAGCCGCGGCAGCAGGCGTACCGCCCGGCGCAGGCCGCGCCCGCGCGGCCGCAGCAGCAGCCAGCGCGGCAGCCGTGGCAGGCCTGGGCGCTGACGACGGCGCTGACGACGACGACGACGACGACGACGACGACGGCGACGGCGACGGCGACGGCGACGGCGACGGCGACGGCGACGGCGACTGCGACGGCGACGGCGACGACGACGACGACGGCCTGACGACGGCGCTGACGACGACGACGACGACGACGACGACGACGACGACGGCGACGGCGACGGCGACGGCGACGGCGACGGCGACGGCGACGGCGACTGCGACGGCGACGGCGACGACGACGACGACGGCCTGACGACGGCGCTGACGACGACGACGACGACGACGACGACGACGACGACGGCGACGGCGACGGCGACGGCGACGGCG